AAGCGACTAATTCTGAATTTGACTAATGCAGTCCGGCTAATCTGAATTTGACTAATGAAATCCGGCTAATCTGAATTTGACTAACGTGAAAGCGGCTAATTCTGAATTTGACTAACGAAAAAGCGACTAATTCTGAATTTGACTAATGCAGTCCGGCTAATCTGAATTTGACTAACGTGAAAGCGACTAATATAATAGGTTGACTTATGAAGGTCGACTAATCTGAATTTTGACTAACGTGAAAGCGGCTAATTCTGAATTTGACTAATGCAGTGTGACTATTAGTGTTTTTGACTATTTTACTGCGACTGTTCATCAAAATGACTAAAGCTCCCATTACACGAGCGCAATTGCCTCAGAGATTTCACATGAGATGTGGGCGGAGCGAGATGGCCTTTTTTNCAATTGCGCTCGTGTAATGGGAGCTTAATTGTGTGCGACTAACTTCAATTTTGACTAAAAAAGAACGACCACTTCGATTTTTGACTATTTTGGGCAATGGTTTTTTTTCAGTGTGAACAAATATTTCATTGATGTTTGATTTGCCCATTATTATCATCATCATTAGTGGTATGCATTTGGCGAATATGATTATTTAATTTTTTGTCTGAATCAAATCTATATTCACATCGATCACATTTGTATTGAATATCAGATGAATGGAAACTACGAAGTTGTTTTTGAAAATTAGATTTGTTTGAAAATGAAAATTGTGATTTATCTCATTTGTACGGTTTATCACCTTTATGTACACGGATATGTCTTCGTAAAGTACCTTGTTGTGCTGTTGAATAAGGACATTGATCTCATTTGTATCTTTTATCATTTTTATGTATAAGAATGTGTCTTTGTAAATCTGATTGGTCTACAGTTGAATATCGACATTGATCACACTTGTATCGTTTATCACATAAATGCATACGTCGATGTCGTTCAAGATGAAATTTGCTTCGAAAACGATTACCACAAATATGACAAACAAATTTTCGGTTTGGTCGATGTGTTTTTCGATGGCGTAACAATTCATTTGATGTATCGAATTTCAATGAACATTTGGAACAAGAAAGTTTTTCGATATCATCATGGTCATCAACATTATCATTAGTATTCATTATCATCATCACTGTTATCGGGTGAAAAATATTCCGAAATCGCTGATGAATTAGTATCAGAATCATTATTGCTGACACAGGAAAAATATTCCGAAATTGTTGAATCATCATTATCATTTGAAACAAAAGTAGAATCGGAATCTGCATCTTTTTCATCTTCATCGTACAACGAATTGATATCCAATTACAAATTGCTTTGTTGTTCATCATCATCATCATCGATTTGATTTTGTTCAATGTCAATAAAATCCAATGAAAAATTATTATGGCTAAATAATTTATCCAATTTTTGTGAAAAATTTAAAAGTTTTGATTCAGCTTGATTTAATTGATTCACCATTTGATCGAATTTATTAAATTTATCCAAATTTGATGATAGTGATTCCATAATGTTGATTAATTGATTATCAATTTCTTCACATTGTGTTAATATTGAATTCGATTCTTCATTTGATTGATTTTTATCATCGATATTAGTTGATGATGAATTTGATTGATACATTTTTTTCGATGACAAACAAATGAAGTGAAAAGATGAAACAGATAAAAAATATTTTGAAAAAATCGAGAGAAATCACAACAACAAATTATCACGTTAAAACAATGACAGATATGAACGACATGAACAATGATGATATGACCTGATATTTATACACAAGTCGAACCAAACATGCAAAATCGACCAGTGTTTAGTATTTGTATGTGATTTCAAAATATAAAATCGAATCATCCACAATAACATAAAAAAGTAAAAACAAAAACAAAGAAAAAAATATAGGGTATATAAACAAAATCAACATCTTTTTCATTGACGAGTTATTTTGATTTTTGAAAAACGATGTTTTGTTTTCCTTTCATGTGATTTTGTATAAGCTAAATTTATTTGTGTATTTTCAAATTGATTGAATAAAGTAAATTTTTTAAAAAAAAAAATTAACGGATAGTGTCAATTTCATCCTGATATGCAAATATAATTTGGCAGCATTTTCTAACATTTTGAACTATAATATCGACTTTGAGTGAATTAAGGATAATTATCTATGGATCTATGCATGTTACATTCGATGAAAGGGGCTGTTCTTCGGATGTATCTTGTACGCTTAGATGAATACTAAGATTATGATATTTTTCATAATCCAATGAATTTGAATATCATTAACCAACAATAAAAATGAAAGATTTCTATAGCCAATCATTGGCGATATGATGAATGTATTGGTTGGTTCATTTGCTTTTAGCTTAAATGTTCCATTTAAACCATAATCTGTATCCGATACCCTTGGATTCTGACCATTCAACCATCGAACCGAAGTTAAATAAGGACTATGTTCATCAATGTTGGCTGTAAATTGTGGCTGTGAAAAGTATGGTTTTCGATTGTTCAGATTGTACATGATTATCAAAAAAATGTGATTGAGTTGATGTGGATGAGGAATTGTTGTTATTGTCAGCAATATGAATTTTGTCTTCAGAAATATATATGTCGAAATAGAATTGTTTTCCACTTAACACGATTGTAACTTTTTAAATTATCTTTATTTAACCATTTAAACACCAACCAACCAAACACAATACAAATAATAATCACCAATTAATAACCACCAATTAAAATATAAATAACCAAATAACCAATCATTGTTGGTTCCGCTGATTTCCACCAGTGGTTCGAATTCCGCCACTTTTCAACCGATGATTTAACCAATGACCAACCAATAACCAATCACCAATCCTGGTATCCAACCGACTAGAATCCGAACACCGTTTGCCATGTTTGATGGAGTTTATATATGTTTTTCCATCAAATATTTCCAGTTCCATCCGATCAAAACATCCATCCAATGTTTAGACTGCCGATTACCGCCATCGATGTTTTCTTTTCGATATTATTCGGCATCCTGTCTTTTATCTACCAAATTGTTTTGTTATCAATTTCAATTCCATATTTGTCCATAGTCCAATAGTTCATCAACAAGATTTGTTTATTTTCGATATTCGATTTCCTTCCAATAAGTTTGCTGATGATTTGTTTTGATTTCCAATTCCCGTCTATTTTTTAATTTCTTCACGACAAATGTTTTGATATTATTTTAACCCATATCCATAGTCCTGTTTTATCTTCATTATTTATTCGATTTCAATTCCATCCTGT